CCAAAATGATGGGGAGGGGGCCAGTCCCCCTATGTCACTCCTGATGGTGTGCGTCTGCGCTGCTTCCCAAGTCCTCCTGGGCCATGCTCAATAGCTCTGCGGACCTGAATGTTGTGATGCAGTGTGTTGACCGCGTGAACGTGCAACTATTGCAGTGTGGATGTCAGCACAAAACTGGGAGTTTTGTGGAACTCCCAGTTCGTCTTTCAGCAGTGTGGCTGTGTCCTTGTAGATTGTCCCCCCAACACCTTTCAGAAGGCCTATCAGAAGCGATGGCTGGGCCCCACCTGCCTCAGCCCCGTATGGCTGCCTGTGGCATGCCGTGGCCCATCACTGACACTGGTGCGCAACTGTATGCAAACTGCTGCATTTGCTGTCATCATATCTGAGCTTCGTACGTGCCTTTCTTCTGCTCACGGGGAGCACTCTGCAGTTTGAGGTTACAGCACTCTGAAACCTATGGCACCCAGGCAAATCCATGCAGGAACGACTCTGGCCCAAGCAAGGCGCAAGCCATACATTGCTTGCCGTGCATATGCAGCTCGCTGTCCAAGTGCACCTCGCAAAATCAGAGAGGGGTCACCAGTGCGCCACCATCAGCGGGCAGCCCAGGCCAGCCTCGCGGCTGGGCTGCTCAAGCCAACCCATGCCCAGCCCAGGCGCAAGGCTGTGGCGCTGCCCGGGCGGCCGCCTGGGCAGTGCAACGCCTGACCGCCGGGGCCAGGCCATGGCCGGCCTGGCCAGGCAGTATGCATGCGTTGCCGACCGGCTAATTGAGGGATAAGCAGGCTTTACCCCTCAATCGACCCAGACTAAAATTGAAAGGAAATGTGTGGGCGTGTTTGTGTGGTTGTGTGTGTGAGGTGTGCAGGACAAGAGGCAATGCAATGCAGGATCAGCGGATGGCTGTTGGAAAAAGTGCGCCACGCTCGTATGCAAGGAGAGAGCTTCATAGACACGACAACTGCGTACTGTGCTCGGGGTATAGCGGAAAGCTGCGATCCCTCCAGGGCAAGCAGAGTGCGCGCATGAAGCTTGCTTGCAGTGCTGCCCAGCACCAGGGGGGGGGGCGCAGCTCATTGCTGTTTGTGCGCCTCCATACCACTGGCAGGCGTGAAAAAGTCATCAAAAAAAACTATCAGTTCAGCCGGGCAGTGCGGGCGTGCGTGCACGAGCCCCAGTCCATCAGCCTGGGGGCTCATGCGTGCAATCAGATGCCCTTTGGCACGAGCACGCGGTCCACGCCGTGGATCACGCTCTGGCCCGCGAATATGTTGATGCGCTGCGCGGTAGCCGCCGGCCCGCCGGTCGGGACCACGACCAGGCGCCCAACCTTGGTATTGGAAGGGGGATCCTCGATTGCCTTGACCTCCACCCTCAGATCTTGCCCCTTGAGGAGCGTCTTCAAGACGTCGCCGTTCTTGAAGCCGACGGGGACGAGCCGCGCCGGGCCCGGGACTATGTGGTAGCCAAGACCCTCCGCACGCGTCGCGTTCTGAGCAAAGACGAGGTCGACAAACTCGGGCCCCAACGCCTGAAATGCGTCGTTCCTGGGGGCAAACACGGTGGCGGCAGTCTTGGGGTCTGCTGCAAGCTTCGACAGCGCCGGCGTGGCCTTGACTAGGTTTTGGAGGACCGAGGTCGAGGCGTAAAAGTCGAGGGCGGCGATGATTGTCGGGAACACGCTGTCCGGCAGGACCACCGCATCAATCTTGTAGACGACGCTGCGGCCCGCATCGATGCCGTCCAAGGTTATTGCAGCCTTGTTCTGGGCGCCCTCGACGGTCAGCTGCCCGGCGGCTCCTGCGCGGCCGAGCCTCAGGTTGCCGCCGGTGAACGGGGCGATCGTGAAAGGCGCAAACTGCTTGAGGCGGTCCGCGGGGTACGCCTCGGGGACGAGGTGGTGGCCGAGGATGGCGTCGAGCAGCGGCTCAAACTTGTAGATCGCGTCCACGCTGGCGAACCCGAGGCTCTTGGCGAACGCCTCGAAGGCCTGGGCCGGCAGGGTGCGTTGTGGGGCGGTGTGGTGGTGGTTGGGGGAGGGGCACAAGATTGGCAGGCTGGGGCGGTGCGGGGTGTACGAGAGTGTGGGGCTTGCAACAATTTGGAAAGATATCTCGGCCGCCCGCTCATCCTCTGGTGGGGCGTTGCACGTTTGGCAAACTCATGGATTGCCCCCACCCCAGCCAGCCGCACGCAGCAAGGCTTCAAGCACGCATCCGAGAGCAGAGGCAGCCTCGGCATCCATGACAAAACCAGCCATGGATTCAGGCAAGTCTGCAAGTGGCATCACCTTGTCGGTCGGCGCGAAGAGCGTGCCCGCGAATGCGGGGTCGTCGAGCTCGTCCAGTATGCCTGTGCTGTTGATCAGCCGCGCGAGCGCCTTGAGGTCGGCGCGGCCCTCGACCGCCTGTGTGACTGACTGGCGGGCGGACGTTTCCAGGTCAGGCACCAGCGGGAAGTCAACGACATGCAGTACGCCCGCGCCGACATGAATGTCCTTCTCAACAATCTGGTGAACGTGGAGGGTGGGTGGTTGACTGAGGTTGGTGTTTTTTTTGGGGGGGGGTTATGCGGTGTTGGAGGCTGGTTGAAGGTGCACACCGGCTGGAGGAGGCGCTAGAGGGCAGGCGGGCATAGGGAGCGTGCGGGGGTTGGGTTTGAAGAGGGAAGAGCGTCTGCACGCGGTAAGCCGGGACCAGTAGGAGGCATCACGCCAGCCTGCAGGGCGAGGGGTGTCTGCAAATTGACACGTCCGCCCTTCTCCCCTCCCTGTCAGTAATCTCCACCCGCATGAGCGCCTGCGCTCACAGATGAGAATCAAGCCCTTGCAAAGCGCGCTTCTAAAGGGCTTGCCAGCAAACTGCCCCCCGTGCCTTGAAGTTGTGGGCTTGCCCCTCCCTCACCGTGCTGCGGTCCTGCAGGCTGAGGGTGCCCCACAGCTCCACGCGGCCGCCCTTGACCCCATGAAAAATCGGCTCCGGCACGCCCCCAATCTTGAGGCTGCTCGCCAGCGGCTGCGAGGCGGACAGGTTGGCCAGCTGCGCATAGCCAAAGGCGGACGGCGTAGAGTGGTACGCCAGAACGAGGCCGATGTCAGCCTTGGTCGCGCCGAACGCGCCGAGGAGGGTCTGGTCTTTCGCAACAAACTTTTTCACGCCCGCATCGTTGGGCGCAAAGTACGTCCCCTGGAATTGGGGGTCTGACGCCTTTGTTTTTGCGGCCGGGTCGTCCTTAAACAGCTGGGCCCACTGCTTGAGGCCCGGCCGCGCCTCAAGCGCGCCCAGGAGCGTCGGGTACACGTCCGAGGGTACGAGGACCTTGTCGATGACGTGGACGACGGCGGTGCCGGACGCCCGGTCGGCCGCGAGCACCTTGGCGCTGTTGGTAGCGCCCTTGACGGTGATGGCCCCGTCGGCGGCCCTGGGGTTGCGGTGTTGGTGGATGCGGTCAGAAGCAGCAATCTGAGGTGAAATGCATCGACTGTACCCAGGGTTTTGGGCAGGTTCTCTAAGACAACCGGGTGAAGATAGGTGGGGGGCATGCGTGCAACCACCTACCAGCAGCAGCAGACCGCCCACCACCCCAATGCGCGCTCGCATGCTCTTGCCTGCTGCAAGGGCCACCCCGGTGGCCCTTGCTGGGCTGGCAGCGCCCGCGCTAAGGTGATTCCGGCAAATGCAGATATGCACGCCGGCAAGAGTGCCCGAGCGCAGCCTCCATATGGGACGGCCGGCGTCAGATGCGCAACCCCCCCTCCTGGCATGTGTGCTGCCCTAACCCGCACCCCACCCACACCCTTCCCCCAAGGCAGGCCCTCACTTGGTGACCGTCAGCGTGGTGCCTTGTATTGTCTTCAGCTGCTGGCCGCTTTTCAGGTTGGCAGCCTTGTAGGCGGCCGTCTCTACAGTGTGGGCGGCGCCCAGCTTGGTCAAGAGGTCAGCATACCTGCGGGGGCGGCGGTGGCAGCAGTGGCATTTCAACAGGGCAAGGCTGACCGGTCTCAGCCCCACAGCATGGCGGCAGCAACCCAGCCCCGATTGGAGGCTGCTAGTGGCCCTTCCGTGCTGTCAGGTTATGGGGTAGGGCCGACACTGCCTGTGGCTGGTCACATCTTGTCTGAGACCGGCGGGCAGCATCAATCCACCTACTTGGGGCTCAAGAAATCCTTTGCGCTCTTCAGGCCATAGACCTTTGCCAGATCCTCAAATGCCTGCAAGGGTTGAGTTCGCAGCAGCAGGGTATTCGGCAACCCATATTGCCCAGTGGGGCAGCATGCAGGCGCGTGCGCCGCTCAAGCCGAGGTGCTTGGGTTGGCAGAGGCTCGCCTGCTGCTTAGATTATGGCTTGAGACCGGCTGGCAGGCCAGTCCCAGCCCCTGCCTGGCAACTCACCGCGTCTGATGGCACGAAAATCGTATCTGTGTCCCCAGGCTTGAATCCGAGGTAGTCACCAATCGCCTTGAAGGTCTGGGTGCTGGGTGCCCCTTGGGCGGCGATACCTGAGCTCACCAGCGAGCGGCGAGGGCGCGGTCAGCAGGACGCGGCGAAGTGCAGACAGGAGATTCCCTGGGTGTAATGCTGGTGATACAGTGGGAGTTCTGGAAGCAGTTTCCCACGATGTCTTGCAGTTGCATCATGTGTTGATGTGTGCATCGGTCAGCAGGCAGTGGGCAGCAGGCCCGCTGAACTTGGGGGCCTTCAGTGCAAGGCAACATAAATGTACTTGTGAAGCTGTGAAGCCCCTTTTGTCACAGGATCGTGCGGGGAGGTCCAACCCGTCGGTGTGCACATCAGTGCGAGTTCGGGAGCAGGTGCAAACACACCCCTTGGTCGAGCGTATCCGAAACTCACCAGCTACACAGCATGCCAGTATCAGTACCGCGAGAGCACCCCGCATTGGCTGCAGGTGTCGTCGAAAGCTGACACTTTGATCTGGTCCTTCGGGCTTGGCGAGCGCGTTTGTGGTGATGGGCTCTGGAAACAACAAATAACAAATAGCAGTGCATATTGCGCCGCGTGGAGGCATAAATCACCCAGTGTCGCATTTGGGGTGAGAGTGAGGTGCTAGTGACATTTAGAAATGCCTTACTACGAAGCAGGCCCACTCTTCTGACCCGGTGAATTTGCAAGTTCTGAGTTACACGTACACAAGCATCATGTGACCATCTTTGCACCTATCATATGCGATGCAAACCCGTGTCTGTTGCACGCACATTGCCGCCGGCCCTGCCTCGGCCACATTGACGTACGCGCCTCCCGTCGATCGCGACACAAACCAAGCGGGCAATGATGTCACCCGCGCGCTCTGGCAACGCGCCGGCCTGTTGTGCGCCGCGGCGTGACTGTGGCCATCAGTAGTTCCAGGAGTCGTGGTGGTGCGCGTCGTATTGATACCTGCGCAAGGCGCCGGGGCACATGGGCAATCACACGCTCCATGTCAAAAACCCGCCCTGCAGAGCGTGCCGGCTCGCAGGCAGCGTGCAGGACCCCCGTGCTGCACGCGTGGCCCCATTGCCGCGACAAACGTCAGTGGTCCCTTCTCACGCACTGCGGTGACGCCATTTATCGTCCGCGCACCAGCCGAGGGAGAGCGGCAGGATGACCAGAAACAGCACGAGCAGCAGGACGTACGACGCGAGGGCGATTGCGCTGCCGATGGCGGCGCGGCGGTCCTTGGGGTCCTTAGTAAAGCAGGGCAGACAGATGCCCAGGATCCAGCAGATCGGAAACATGAAGCCAAGGCCAAAAAGAGCCCTGGGAAGCAAGGTTTGGGGGCAAATAGGGGGCGTTTTCACAAAATGGGACATTATTGAGCCAGCAAAGTAGCCAGGGCCTTGCAATGACGACAGCGGCGGCCGTCTGGTTGACGCGTGCCCCAAACAGCGCGACGCGCTCACCATCCCGCCGAGCAGCAGCTGCAGGGCTGCTGCCGGCCGGCGAGCGGCGTGCTGTGGACAACGACGACGGCGGGGGCAGCGCCAAGCATCGGCCCGCAGGCGCCGGGCGGTGGCAGCGCCGGCTGGAAATAGCCCGGCTGCTGCTGTTGCTGCTGCGGCTGTTGTGGATGGGGATAGAAGGGCGCGGGCTGCTGCTGTGGGTAGTACGTGGGGGCCGCGACCTGCGTCTTATCAACATGCGGGCATGGGCCATGTCAGCTTGGCATGGGCAGTGCCAAGTGGCTGCAGGCTGGCAGACTGGACCAGACTTGCCAGGGTTAAACCCTGGCATCATCGCTGCCAAGATTCATTCACCGTGTCAAGGTCTGCGAGCTATCATAAAGCAGCAAGCGCAGCGCCGCGGCCATTCCTGGGCTATGCTCCTCACAGCATGCGCACTGCGCGCGATATGTAGCCCTGCGCCCCTTGCGACCCGGCCATGCACTCACCACTGGGCTAGCCGCGGGCCCAGTTGGATACGTCTGCGCTGGAGGGGCGTCTGTGTAGGCTGGAGAGGCGGCGCCAGGAACCGCGGGGTAGTGCGCCTGCTCGTGCTGCTCCTGGTACGGAGGGTACGTAGCGCCCGGCACCTGCGAGGGTTGCTGGCCAGCACCCATGGCTTATTTAGCTTCTTCTGGTGTCTTGGGGCGAGCCTGCGTGTCGAGCACACGGGCTGGGCGGTCCTTGATGGTCAAAACAACGCCGCAGCACGGTCTGGATACGCCGATCAATGTCTCGTGAGTTCATTTTACGGCTCTTACGCCAAAGTTGCTCCGTGATCACACCAAGTGAAAGTTAGCTGGCCCGCTTCCCATCTTCCCTCCGCGGGCCGCAAAGTTTCACCATGGCCGTTCTGGGAGTGCTGCTCATGCCTCACAAACGTGAGCGCGTGCTTTCTCGTGAAGTGCTCGATGCCCTCCAGGCCGGCGATGCGCGCGCTGTGTTACTGCTGCCGGATGACACCTCCTCCTGGGCGCAAGCCGATGCCATTCTCCACAAGATGCCCGGTGATCAAGGTGGGTGCAAGCCTTGTTGGTATGTGAAATGCTGACGTCCATGCCGCTCGAGAGTGTGCGCTCCCCTCCTGACGCACACCGGCAAGCAGCAACCACGTCGCCGCCACCCACCCCACTGCACACACCACCTGCAACACCACCTTACGCGCGACTCGCGCCAGGCTTGCTCGAGCGCCTGGAGCAGTTCTCGCACGATCACCCGCACGTCGCGCTGATGGACCCGCCGGCGGCGCAGCGCCGCGCCTCGCGGCGCGACGAAATGCTGTCCGCCCTCCGCGGCCCGGGGCTGCTGCTGACACCGCCGCCGGGCGCGGCGCGCGGGCAGCAGGATGCGGGCCACCTGCACGCCGCCGCGCCGCCGCAGGTAACTCTAAACGCAAGCATGGGCGCGCAGGAGGCGCGTGCGGCGATGGCGGTGGCGGGCGTGGGCTACCCATGCCTCGTGAAGCCCCTGAGCACCGCGCCGGCCGCGCCGCCTGCAGCGGCCCCCACATCACGGCCGATAGCTGCCAGGGTGCCAGACGCTTTGGGAAAAGCTTCGATGACGGCAGCAGCACAGCCGTCGCACGGCGGCCTGGAGGCTAACCACGTCATGGGTGCCCTGTTCTCTGATGTGGGGCTCGAATCGCTCCTCTCCGGCGAGCTGCCGGCGCTCGCGCCGCCAGTGGTGGTGCAGCAGTTTGTGCCGCATGGGGAACGCATCTTCAAGGTGTGCGCTCCATGCACGCCGCCCTTGCTTTGCAGTGACATGCAGCTGCAGCAGCCTGCACATTGTTCACGCGCAGCGCCGTCGCATGCAGACAACTTGCCGATGCATCCACCGCTCTCGCGGTCGCTAGCCGCTCGCATCAAACAGCTCTCACGCCATGCCTCTGGACCCCCTGCCTGGCCCGCCTCCAACTCAACGCCAGGTGTACGTTATTGGACCGCAGAATGTATTGGTTGAGGAACGTGAAACAATCACGCTGCAACAGCTCGAGGCGCTCGCGCAGCATGCTGTGGGGGGCACCAGCGACGGCCCCGTGGGCCTGCTTCAGCTGCCAGGTCGCGCCAGCTCAAAGCCTCGGGCGGCCGCAGGCTGCGGGGGCGCGGCGCCGCCGGTGTGGGCGGTGCGGCGACTTGCAGTGGAGCTCAGCGGCGCTTTGGGGCTGTCACTCTTCAACTTTGACCTGATTGTGCCGCATCCAGGGCTGGGCGGCCGCCAGCCCTGGGGAGCGGGCGTGGACCCGGTGGCGGCACGCGGCAGCGGCATGCAGCAGCAGCAGCAGCAGCAGCAGCAGCAGCAGCAGCAGCAGCAGCAGCAGCAGCAGCAGCAGCAGGCTGCGGGTTTGCGCGCTGCCGGGCAGCTGCCCTTTCGGTGCCCGGGGGTTACCACGGGTGACGCAGTGACATGGACATCCAGGGAGCTGCTGGTCGTCGATGTGAATTTCTTTCCAGGGTTCGACAAGGTCCCGGGTGCGCAGGCGCTGCTGGGGTCGCACCTCGCTGCCGTCGCCCGTGGCGCAGCAGCGGCGCGCGCCGCCGCCGCGGGCGCGGAAGGTGCTGCCGTCGGTCGGCGAGAGCGGGCCGCGGCGGCGGCTTCCCGCTGACGCTCAGGGGAGGCTCGCCAGGCTGGCTCTCGCGCCGTCCCCTGGTCCAAGATGCTGTTGAGCATGCACATAGTGGGTTGTGAGATTGATGTTTGAGCTACAACTTGCCATGCGCTCCTGAGGCAGCTTGGTGAGCGTCGGTCGGGTACAGTATGCATGAGGGTGAGGAGTACTCACTCTGCTGGTATTGGGGATCGACCAGATTGGCACGTGCACGGCTCGTTGCAGTGGATATTGGGATTCAATTGCTCATACAAATTGTTCAGCGCATTGTCCACCCGCAGTCTCCGCCTTGATGCGCGGCTCTGCGGAAAGCTAATCACCGCACCACCTTGCGCTGCAGCTGGCTCACATTCAGTCTTCCGTTCCATTCGCTTGGTGCTATCCCCTTCTTATTGCGACCAGGGGATCTACAGTATACCACCGTCGGTTGTCACAGCAACCCGAGGACGGACGCGCGGCTGGCACCAGGTGAGACGCCACACGGGCTTGCTGATTATCGATGTATCAAATCTACATAAGCCCATATCAATATAGGACCGGTCACCCGGGCTCGGATGGTCGAGCGGGCAGCATCCTCCCCGTGCACTAGTGCACTGGCTTGCGCAATCGAGGGCGTTGGACTTCGCGAGAGTGGCAAAAACTAATTCAATAATCGTATCAAAGAAACCGACCGCTTTGCCACGCCCGCCGCTTCACACCACCGCGAGCGCCCAGGCGTGGAGTCGCGCAGCGGGGCGACGCGGTCCCGCCGCCAGCAGTTTTTTTCGTTTTGCCGCTAGCAGCGGCGGCAAAAGGCGCGTGGCGGCAGACCACGGAGCCACTACAAGGGTAGCTCGTGCCAGGAGGCCCCGGTCAGGGGTCCTGAGGCGCCGCAGCCATGGCGGGCGACCCCATAGCCCCCACCGCCACCGGCGCATGGGGGCAGACAGCCATCATCCCTCTATGGGTCCCCGTGGTCGTCTTTGCGCACGTCTTTGCGGCCTTTTGGCTGCTGAAGACATGGATGCTGAACGCCCCGGCGGTGCAGCGGAAGGTGCGCCAGGAGGGGCGCGCGATGTCGAAGCTCGCGAAGCAGGCGTCCCAGAAGCTCAGGGCGGGCCTGAAGCAGGGCTCCGCCGCGGGCGCCACGGTCGCGGCCGGCAAGGCGGGGCGGACGGAGTCTCTGGATGACGCCGCCGGCAACGGCGCCGCAGCAGGCGACCAGGTTGCCATACAGGTGGGCAGGTCTCAAGGGGCGTTGGGAGGGGGTTGAGGGGGCGGTTATCTGGGG